CGCCCCGGCCGCCCTTAGCCCTGACCGCGCCGCTCCCTCCGCTCCCCGCAGCTGGAGGAAGAGCAGCAGGGCCTGCAGAAGAAGCTGAAGGGGACGGAGGACGAGGTGGAGAAGTATTCCGAAGCGGTGAAGGATGCCCAGGAGAAACTGGAGCAGGCCGAGAAGAAGGCCACCGACGTGAGTGGGCCCCGCGGGGGGAAGGGTGAGGGGACCCAGACCTCCCCAGCCCCGGGGCAGGAGTGGCGTCCTCGCCTCGGCCCTGCTGGGGTCCGAGACTGGGTAAATCAAAACCGCTACCACTTCCCTCCAGGACTTAGCCTCCTAACTGCTCTTGGTGCCAGCTCGGAACGCAGTGACCAAGCAGTGAGTCACCGCGGGCGGGGGCGCTCCCCTCTGCCCCAGGGCTCCCCCAGGGTACAGCTGCGGTGTAACGTGAGGCGCCAGCGGGCAGGAGGAAGGAGACATCCCAAGAGAGGCCCTGACTTGAGTTATACCCCTCCGGGCCGTTAGAGATCCCCGGCATTGACCTCTGGCTTCCTTCACCCTGTGGCCCTGTGGCCCCAGCTCAGGTTCTCCCTGGCCCTCATCTACCCTCATTAAGCTGTCAGCCTCCAGGCCACAGGGCCACAAATGCCAAGTAGCCACCTTGGCAGGAGCTGCTTACTCTCGGACTTCCCTCCTACCCCACAGCCCTCACCAGGTTTCTGAACCTCTGCCAGTCCCAGCCCCCGCCTCAGAGGAGGAGACTGTGACTGCGGACGCGGTGCTGCCGCTGTTCTGTGCCTTCCACCCGGGTTCTTTAAGTTGAAGACGGCCTTGTGGCTAGAGTGGACGTGAGGCCTCGCTTACAGCATGGTCCCAGCCTCAGGGATGGCGCCCTGTTTGTGCTGACCGTTCTCGAGGGTCCTCAGCCCCCGAGGGTTGGACTTCTTTGACCTCAGAGTTTGGTTCTGCACCAGCCCTGGCACTTGGGAGGGAACTGACCTGCAGCTGCTAGCAAAGAGACCCTGGGCATCTGACACTCTATAAATAACCAAGGCCCAGTGCAGCTGGAGCAAGGCTGGAAACCCAAGGAGCTGGGTGGGGGCTGCGGGGGCAGGGGCAGAGCTGGGGAAGCTGCCAGGAGTAGATAGGAAATGCTGCCTAAACTTGCTGCGTGACCTTGAGCACCGCAGCTCACTTAACTCCAGTTTGTCCTCCTCTTGCTCCCTCTGTCCAGTGTGTTCAGTAGTGTTAACCTGCGGTTGCAGAGCACTGAGGATCCATAGCTTCAAAGAGCTTGAGCGGGGCTGGGGATTTAGTTCAGCGGCAAAGCGCCTGCCTGGCAAGCGCAAGGTCATGAGTTCGACTCCTGGTACCAGAAGAAAAAAAAGAACAAAGAGCTTGAGGAACAGGAATGGCGAATGTCAGTCCCATGATGAGGACCCCAGGACTTCCCAAGCCTTGTCGTCATTTGTCTGTATGACCACCATGAAGAGTTTTCCTTTTATGGAGTCTTCTCTTTCTAAAGCAGTCCGCCCATGTCTCCCAGAGTTACTCTCCTCAATGCGGTGCGGTCCACAGAATCTTTCCACATGCGTCATTGGGCGCTGTGCCCTTGACAGGCTTTTGCCATTCTAGGTGGCCGAGCTCCAGGTGCCTTCAGCACCTGCAGGGCAAGCTATAGCCCACGGTCTGCATATGGAACTGTGCTTCTCCTGCCACGAAATCACCCCGGTTCTGCCTTCTCCTCTGCCTTACACTGCCTCCCAGCTCCTCCCTCACTCGCCCCCCCTCCACCCCGTCTCCACCGGTCCTTTTCCTTTCCAGTCTCAGGTCTCTGCAGGGACCTCTCTGTCTGTCTTTGCGGCAGAGGCAGGGATACCCTAACGTCTATCACGTAGCCTCTGTGTCCAGGCATTTCCTGCGGAATATTTTGCTGTTTCCCGTACTTGGCTTAGCAAAATTGTTCAGCAGATTTGAAGAAGGTTGATTCCCAAGCCCTTACACTGGAGAGCTCACTTCAGTGAGCTCTCTTCTGCACGGAGCTGGCAGTGTGTGTGTCTTACGAGCCTCTCGGATGGCTCTGTTGATGATTAGAAGCGCTGAGTCATCTCTGAACTGTCCTGTGAATTATGATCATGAACTCAGATTTATGAAGGAGGAAACAAAAGCCTAAGGAGCCTAATTTGCCAAGGTCACACAAGGGTTGAGTGGCTGAGCCAGGGCTCTGGACAACAGACCGTACCTCTGCTCGTGTTGTCCTTCAGGGGGTCCCGTTTTGCTCTTTTCCTTTGTGGGAAGCCCATTTTTGTCTCTTTCTCCCTATCCTCAGTTTTTAGGGACCGTCTTCAAAACCTCCGAGGTTTTACTTCCATGTCGCAAGATACGGGGCTGAGTGTCCGCCCTCCTCTGTCTGCTGGCCTGGGGGGACCCCCGCGCTACAGCCAGGCTAGGGGGGGCGCGCCGATGGTGCACAAGCGGCAGTGCTCGTGCAGAGCCCTCTGTCAGCTTGCGAGCCAAGGGTACACGTTGTTTTCTTTAAACCAGAATTTCAGTGTTCAGGTTTAATTGCAGCGTTGGTACTTTGTGATAAATAAGTGGGTTTGGGGTTGCAGTTTGGGCACTTGGACTCTGAAAAGTTCACTGGCCTAGGCTGTGTCCTTTGAGCAGCCCTGGCTTGCCTCTTGGGTCCCTTGCTGGGAGTCTTCCTGGCAGCTGGTGACATCACTGAGCTTGATGCTGTGATTGGCTGTTTGTAGCAACAGCGAAGTCTGGTTGGCTTAAGTCTTCCGCACCCCCTTACCTGGACCAGGCTCTGCTGTGGAGAAACAGGCTGCCTCAGACCCAAAGGGCACAGCCGGGCAGCCAGTGGGAGGCTAACCATGCCTAGTGCCAGAAGAGGCCCCACCCCAGGGAAATGGAGCTTGTGAAGAAATGCAGGTGCTTGGCTGGAGCACAGAATCTCAGCAGAAGATGGCTAGTTGAAAGAAAAAACAGATTGAATATCGAAAATCCAGGACATCTAGGTTCTTCCTGTGAAGAATCTTAGCACCTCTCTCAAGCCCCTTTTCCTCATGCAAGCCAGACAAAGCCTTTCTGACCTCTGACCTCTGGCCTCTGGCCCACAGGCCGAGGCAGATGTGGCCTCCCTGAACCGCCGCATTCAGCTGGTAGAGGAAGAGCTGGACCGGGCCCAGGAGCGCCTTGCTACAGCGCTGCAAAAGCTGGAGGAGGCGGAGAAGGCCGCTGATGAGAGCGAGAGGTGGGCAGAACGGGGGCGGGGGGCCTGCGTCTGCTGTGCTGACCCCACCGTACTCATCCCTCTCTCTGCCTCTCAGAGGAATGAAGGTCATTGAGAACAGGGCCATGAAGGACGAGGAGAAGATGGAGCTGCAGGAGATGCAGCTGAAGGAGGCCAAGCACATCGCTGAGGACTCAGACCGCAAATACGAGGAGGTGACCGCCCGGCCCCGCCCCCTCCCCGCTCCCGGGCCTCACACCTTCGCTCACCGCCCGGCTCCGCCCGCCCTGTCCCCCCCAGGTGGCCAGGAAGCTGGTGATCCTCGAGGGAGAGCTGGAGCGCTCAGAAGAGAGGGCTGAGGTGGCCGAGAGGTAAGGGATCCCCGGGCGGCTGGTAGAACTCAGCCAGGGCAGGAGGCGGCTTGCCTGGAAGGCAGGCCATTTCCAAGGCCTGTGGCTGCGGGAACAGGTCCTGCCTCTGACCTCTGCCCGCTGCCCCCAGCCGAGCCAGGCAGCTGGAGGAGGAGCTCCGAACCATGGACCAGGCCCTCAAGTCCCTGATGGCCTCAGAGGAGGAGGTAGTAACCTCTTGGGCAGCGGCGCCTTCTCTCAGCTCACGGTCCCCCTCAATTTCAGCACCTCAGGCTGCTCTCTGTCACCTGCCAGGGGTCGGGAAGGGCCCGGGCTCTTGACTCTGCCTGCTGTCACGCTTATCACTTTGCTCTTCTCTTCTCTCCTCGTCCCTCCCCCTCGTGCCATTCCCACTGTCTCTCCTCACTGTCCTCACACCCCGCCCTGCCACACACCCCTGCAGTAAATGTGGGGACCTAGAGGAGGAGCTGAAAATTGTTACCAACAACTTGAAATCCCTGGAGGCCCAAGCAGACAAGGTAGAGGGGGGAAGGGCAGTGAGGACGGGGTCCTGCAGGGGAGGTGGGGCTGGGTGTCCGTGGAGGCAGGATCAGGAGGGGCTTGAGGCACTGGCTCAGTGGAGAAATGAGGATTCAGGCAGATTCACTGACGGTGCTGTATGTCCCTAAAAGTATTCCACCAAAGAGGACAAATACGAAGAGGAGATCAAACTGCTAGAGGAGAAGCTGAAGGAGGTAAGAGCTCCCTCCAGCTCCCAGTCGCCCAAGCCACCCTTGTCCCCGAGAGGCTGTGACGGGGAATTGGGGGATCAGGATGGAAGGGAAGGTGACTTCACTGAGGTTCTCCGGGTGGGCCTAATGCCTTGTCTTGTCTCCCGTCCCACTTACATTCCCAGGCTGAGACCCGAGCAGAGTTTGCCGAAAGATCTGTGGCAAAGTTAGAGAAAACCATTGATGACCTGGAAGGTAAAAGTGGGCCCTCCACTCCCTGTCCTTGGCAGCCTGTCTCTTATCTTCCCATCCCACGGTATCTGCCACGGGTAAACTAGGGTCGGAGCACGCAGAACTGCACAGCCCTAGTGGGCTGTTCCCAAGACTCAGGGAGTTGGCGTGGGCCACAGTGTGTCAACTCCAGTGATCTCAGACCTCAGAACGCAGGAGAGTCACCTGAGAGTGTTAAGAACAGATTCCTGGGGGCTAGGGCGATAGCTCATTGGCAGAGTGCATGAGACCTTGGGTTTAAAAAAATCCCAGTTTCCTGGGCTCTACCCCAGCATGATTACTGACTTGGGGCAGTGAATTTGCATTTCTGCCCAGCGTCCCCATAACGCTGGCGATGCTGGCCTTCAGACCAGCACTTTGCACAGCACTGACCCAACAAGTGCTGTCCGCAGTGCAGCACAACAGAATCATCACAGAGACTCCTTTGTCGGATAGTTACTCTGGTTAACGCCTGGGACTGTGTGACAGCAGTAATGGGAGATAATACTTTAAGCTACGTTTAGTGGAAACAGACACCCAGGTATTTTTTCTTCGTGGTCATTTGTATTATCAGCAGTGTTGCTGGGCTAAGGTCGCCCGCCTTTCCTCTCTGGTAACATTTTAACTCTCGTCATTCCCACATCTCTTGCTTCTGGCCTTCCGGCAAGTACTAAGTTTATCTCCAACCTCGGGACTTTAGACCTTTCTGGTCAAGTACCCTCCCTTCCGCTCCCACACAAGCAAGCACCCCTGCCTGTCTGGAGCACTGTGCCCACAGGGTTGTGGGAGAAGCAGACGCCGAGGGGAAGAGTTGAGGTACAGAGAAACAGCAGAGCCAGGAGCAGCGAGAGGGAAGGAGGAGTCAGGACAGTGGACGGCCTCTTCTCTGACTTCTCTCCCTGTCCGCCTCACTCTGGTTCTCTCTCTTGCCTTCACTCTCGCCTTCCTCTCCTCTCCTCTTTCCCTCCATTCCCTACCCGCCCCCCACCCCCTTGGCCACTCCAGATGAAGTCTACGCACAGAAGATGAAGTACAAGGCCATCAGCGAGGAGCTGGACAACGCACTCAACGACATCACCTCCCTCTGAGCCCGCACCAGCGGGGCCACCTCTCATCTCCTTCCTGCTGTCCATTCTCTCTGTGGCAAAGGGGCAGGCAGCACTGCAGAGCCAGGCTGGGCGCAGCCTCGGGAGCACCTCCATCACGCCCGCCACCCACACTGGCACTGGCTTCACCCTTCTCTACACCGCCCCTTCCACCTGCTGCCCGCCACCCCTCTCTGCTGCCTAATAAACTCTGAACTTGGTCTCCATGCTGTTTTCCTGCTCTCCAAAGAGCACCTCATCACTGCCACAGAGCACTGGCTCACTCCTGAGACTCTGGCTCCTTCCTGTGCCCCCGTCTTGTGACGCCCACCCCGCTGCACCAAGGCACCTCAACACACTGGCCCGCCCTGACCCCTCTGCATGGCACTCCCCACCTGCCGCTGTCCGGCTCACTGCGCATGGGGGTGTGTGTGACCCTGCCGAGCACTATGGCTGGTCACTGGCCTTGGGGCACCTAGCGGGGGCCTGGAGGGGAAACAGGATGGCGAAGCACAAGGGAGGGGCAGGCATGTCACGCAGGTCTGGAAGGATGTTTGGAGAAGTGTTGGATGTCAGCAGCAGGGCCTCTCACTGCAGCTCAGGTCTGTTTTCTGCCTCAGCTCTGCCTGGCCTTACCTCTCCTTCCTCAACTTTCTCACTTGCCTTTTGTATCCAACTTTCCTAAACTTTATAAAGGAGGGTAAATTACTTTATGGTGTAGGCCTCCCCACCCCACCTGCGTGACCTCAAGGCCTTAAGGGAGCCATCCATGTCTGTCCTGGTCCATCCATCCATTTGCCACTGCTGTACTGCCTCCCGTCCCTGCAGGCCTGTGTCTCCCTGTGCCTCCCCACCATTACGTGTCTGTCACCTTCCGGTCTGTGCCTTCTTGTGTCTTTCCTGTGTCTCCCCATTCCTGTGCCTTCCCCATGCTCCTTTTCCCTGCTTTCCCTCCCCCTCCTCACCTGCTGCTTTCCCTCACAGAGACCTTGGCCAGTGCCAAGGAGGAGAATGTGGAGATTCACCAGACCTTGGACCAGACTCTGCTGGAACTCAACAACCTGTGAGGGCCGACTCTGCCCCCAGCCAGGGTATAGTTGCTGCCCAAACCCAATAAAGCTGATGTTACATCCCAGGGCCCTTTAAGCCTTTCTTTGGTTGCCAGTGGAACTGGAAGGACCCCTTCTGTGAGGGGACATCCAGTGAAACCCCTGGGGTGGGGCTGCTGGCCTCAGTGATGCATTCGCACAGGCTGTGTGAAGCAGAGGAGCCTGACGGGAATATTCTGGCTCTTGGTCTCCGCGAGGCAGAGGCACTGCCACCTGCAGCACTGCCCTGTTCCAACAGGCAGCTGCACCAGACATTGTATGTTGAAGGGAAAACTGCAAGAAGAGACAGATTTTCCTCCAACGGGTTAAAAGCCCCAAAGCCTCAATATGACTTCAAACCTCGCAGCTGCAGCCCTCCCAACACTGCACCACGCACGCACGGGGCCACTGTACCAACACCAGTCACACCTGCCCGCTTCGGGAAAGCATCTGTGCTGGGCAGAGTAACACCCGTCCTTCAAAAACGTCCACATTGTAATCCTGTGAGGTGGACCCTCAGAAAGCACAAGGGAAGTTGTGACCGCAAGGATCTGAGATGGGGAGATTATCCTAGACTGCTGCAGGCCCAGGGCAGGCACAAGTCCTTATAAGGTGAGGGAAAATGTAAATGTAAGCAAGACTTCCCAGTGGTTAAAAGGGGCCGTGAGCAAGGAATGCAGGTAGCTTCTCACATCTGAAAAAGACGAAATACTCTGCCAGGAGACAGTCCAGACCTGCTCCAGGACACAGCTCTTCAGCACATGCACTCCATGTTAGTCAGCCCTGTGGGGACACTTGCACTGCCACTAAGCCATGACTTGTCACAGCTGTAACAGATTGCAGCAGCAACCACCCACATATCCAGTTACAGTGTAACCACCCTTCTGATTTGACAAACAGTGACATACATATTGTATTAGAAATTTTTATTTATTTGCCTTATCACTGAAGATTAAACCCAAGGCCTTTGCACTAAGCAATATCCCAGTCCTTTAAAAATACTTTTTAAAAAATTTTGTTGAGATAGGGTCTTAATAAATTGCCTGGACTAGGCTCAAACTTGCAATCCTCTGGCCTCGCTCAGCTGGGATTACAGGCATATGCCACCACACCTTGTTTAGAAGTGTTCATTTAAAAAAATCTTGGAGTTGAGTCCAGTCTTGCTCCCCCACTACAAAATCCTATTGCAGCCGGGTGTGGTGGTGCACACTGATAAGCCCAGCACTCAGGAGGCTGAGGCAGGAGGATCATTCTGAGTTCAAGACCAGCCTAGGCTACAAAGTGAGCTCAAGACCAGCCTGAACTGCATAGCAAGACCCTGTTTAAAAAAAAAAAAAATACTATTGGAGTGGTTTAAGAGAAAAACAAAAAAAAATATTTTGGAGGTTTCAGACAGGACAGAACAGGACAAAGTTTCTGAGTCCTTGAAGATTCCATTAGGTGGTTTCTTTGCACGTTTGAGTTCTGAGTCTAGGCTCCAGTCTCCACCATCTCTGCTGGGCTGTAGCTAACACCCTTTTTGGTCCCACTTCTGTGTCTATACAATAAGGAACTGGAATCAGAAAACTGGCCGAGGTGATCTTATTTGTATATAATTTGCACAAAGTCTGGAGTTCAGCCTTCACAGAAGGGGTGGGGCTGAGGCTCTGCAGAGGGAGACGGTCAGTACATTACCTGTGCTGCTTCCTCATCTGCACAAGGAAGGCAATGCTAGTGGCAGCAAAGAGAAGGCCAAAAATGAGGGCCAAGATGTCCCCTGGGGGGAAGGAGGAGGGGCTGCCTCAGGGGTGGCTCCGTGGACGCCCCTTCCCCGCCCTGCGTTCTCAGCAGCCCCCAGGGTTTCCGTCTCCGGAAGCGGGCAGCCAAGAGAGGAGGGTGGATACAGGAGGACAACCAGGCATCACTGCTCTTCCTAGCGGCTGGTTAAAGGGCAGTGTGGCGAGGGGGATGTTCGATTTCTAGAAGTTCATTCTGACTGTCATATTGGGGTGGGGGTCTGTTCTGTAGAGAAGTGGTCCTGACTAGTCCCCGGGGCTGAGTGACGCCAAGGGTGTCCACTCGCATCAGGAGCAAGAGGGACAAACTCACCAGTGGTGAAGCAGGAGCTCATGTGGACTGAAGATAAAAAGAAGACATTAGAGCCAAGGACTGGGACCACCAGTGACAGACTCTGGCAAAAAACGAACATGCAAGCGAGGAGGAGGGGCCTGTGTGGGGAGGGCACGTGGCGGTATGGGATACCAGGCACACGCACCTGGCGCAGGGCTGCTGTGCGCTTCAGCAGGGAAGGAGGCCTCGATCACTCTCCCATTCAGAGGCTGTGTGGCTCGGAAATTCAGCTGCAGCCGAGCATCGCGAGGTCCCCACAGGGAGCCCGTGAGGGCGTGGAGCTGGGGATAGCAACAGATGGTGCAGGAGGCGTGGCGTGGCGTAAAAGGAAACAAAAGGGCCACAGCCAGCACCTCAGGGCGCCACCCTCCACCCCCACACCTTCCACGCGCCCTGGCTGACCTCACCGCAGCCTAGGCCCTGACCCTGAGACCCATGGGCTTGCTGCCACACCCCAGCCCTACCTGTCTAGCGCTTAACTTCACTGTCTGGTTGAACACAGTCCAGATGACCCCCTGGGAACAGGGGGGTGTGGTCAGGGACCCCTCATATTGGAAGTAGCGGCTGAGGTCCGAGGGCAGCAGCGCAGATACATCCAATCCTGGGATCCAAATCTCTGAGCCTGTGGAAAGGACCTTGATTCCAGCAAGCCTGCTTCCCCTGGAAGCTCTAAGGTATAGAGATTTAGTTTTTACTTCCCAGAAGCTGACTTAACTGCCTGAGAGCACTCCTTCACATGTGGTCCCTTCCCTTAACTGCAGAAGACACAACTCAAAAGGAAGTGTTTTTAGACAATTGCAGGCCTCACAGAGTGAGGAAAGCACCCTTTAAATCCTTGGAGCTGGGGCTGGGGGTTTAGCTCAGTGGCACAGAGCCTGCTTGGCAAGCACAAGGTCGGGAGTTCGATTCCCGGTACCGGGGAAAAAAAAAAAACCCAAAAAAATAAATAAAATAAAAATAAATCCTCAGAGCCTTCACTCTTATTTTACACACTATCATAACATGCTGGACCACTGATTTAAGTCCAGAATTAGTTAAAAAAGAAAAATAGGGTTAGAGGTGTACAGTTCAGTGGTAAGGTACTTCCCTAGAAAGCTTCAGGTCCCAGGTTTGATCTCAACATGTGTGGGGTGGGGGAGAAAAATGGGTTGAAGGCTGAGGCAGGAGAAGCGCTGTGAGTTTGAGGCCAGCCTGGGGTACAAAGTGAGTTCAAGGCCAGCCTGGACTGCGTAGCAAAAGCCGTCTCAAAAAACCAAAACAAAATCAAAAAAAAAATTGCAAATAAATTCAATATTTGTAACCCTAAAAAAAAAAAAACAAAAAAAACAAAAAAACAGATAACTCTAAAGGCAAGAGTTCTCTTTGATTTAGGAAAAAACGTAAAGGACCAGTAAAGTAAGGTTTAAGATGACCAAGAATGCTGGGCGTGGTGATACACACCTGTAATATTAGCACTCAGGAGGCTGAGCCAGGAAGATTGAAGAGAATCTGAGGCCAGCCTGAGCTACATAGTAAGTTCAAGGCCAACACGGTCACAAAAAAAGAAAGGATCGAGAATAACTGAGAATGGAAAGCTTTCTAGCAAAAAGTATTTATCAACTTAAAATACTGATGCTTATGAATAAGAACTCAGAAAACACTAAGCTCAACACCCTCAATGCCAGAAGTTCCAAGCTCTATTTCTGGTCCTCTGCGTGTGGGGGTGTATGTGTGAGTTTGTATGAAGTGGTCTAATTTTGTTTTCTGTTTAATTTTTAACCTTCATGTCTGTAGGCAGTGGTGAGCTGTGCCTTGTTGTCCTGTAGTGTACCTCACAGTTAGCAAAATCAGAGCCGTTGACACCTCCGCCCCCTTCCACCTCCATGCTGAGATCTGAGGTTCTCAAGGGCACGTCATGAGGCACTGCAGCCCAGAACAGTGATGGTGAACCTGGTAGACACGAGTGCCAAACTGCAACCCAAAACCCACTTATTAATTGCACAGTGCCAACACTGCAATTAAAACTCAATATTGGTTTTAGTTCAGAAAAAACTCTACATTAACATCTTTGTCTTACAATAACACATGTGCCATAGGTTCACCACCACTGGGGCAGTGGCCAGACCAACAAACTGACCTTCCTCCGTGATCTCGTCCAACCGCGACAGCAGCTGTTCATAGGCACCGTTTTCTTCTGGGCCCTCCTGGGAACGGGGAAGCGGGTGACAATGAAAGACAGACGCCTGTGTCTGGGCCATGACCAGAGGCCTGAATTCGGGGTGGAGGTCGCACAGCCCTCCTCCATTCCACACCTCTGGAAATGCTGGCGGAACATAAACTCTTTATTACTCAAGTCTTACTCTTGTTACTCTTCCTTTGTAAACTAACAGGCTCGGTGGACTGGTTTTTGATGGCAAACCGGAGGTGGGAGAAGGGGAGGAGGCAGAGGGCCTCAAGATCTGTCCTTTTAGCTTTTAGTCTCAATCATCGATACCATGGTGCCCCCACAGAAAACCGTAGTCTACCGCGTGTATTTGTGTTGCTTCTGCATAACTCATGGGTTTGACTTTGTTTTGTTTTTGTTTTTGTTTGGGACAGGATTTCAATATGCAGTTCTGGCTGGCTCTGAACTTACTTTGTAGCCCTGGCTAGCCTCACACTCACAGGGATCCTTCTGCCTCGGACCGTCCCAGTGCTGGGATCACAGGCGGGCACCACCGCGCCCAGCATGGGTTTGACTTTGGCGCTTGGTCCTGACATGTTGCTTATGAGGCACTTCTCTCAACTTCTTGCTCTGAGCTTGGTACTAGTGAGTGAGCCTAGCACGTGTCTAATCCATTCAGTCTACTGGCAGTGAGTGGATACACATCCATTCAATTAGTTATGGCATATATATCATATAATTATGGTATATATATATCCTCGATTGGTTCAGGTCCGAGCAACGACGGGTCGCAGGGGTGACGGAGACGGCTCTCCTCCTGACGAGCAGTTTCCGGCGCCTGCTGCCCTCCGGCTGAGCGCTCTCTGAGTTCCTGTGCGCGAGCTTCTCTCTGGGTGGAATATTTTCTCTCCCACCGGCGAAGACCGCAGGCCTCCCCGCCCCTGCGACCACGATCCCCGCGCCCTCCTGTCTACCGTGCCCGCCTCTACCCCGCCGCGGGCTCCGGGGAGGCGAGGGCGCTCGGCCTCGGCATCCTTCGCGGCCCCACGCCTGTTCGCCGCGGGCGGCAGCGGAGCTGCGCGGGGAGGAGGCGGGCTGGCGGAGCCCTGGGGAAGCGGGGAGGGGCGCGCGGGTACCTGCAGCA